ATATATATATATATATATATATATATATATATGTAGTCAGTAGCAGAAGAGCATTGCCAGCGGAAAGAAGGAAGAGAAGAAAGAAAAATAAAAAGACGAGAGAAAATATATACAGGTATGTGTGTAATAATAAATATATATTTATTCGAAAAAAAACGGACTATTAAACTTTATCACAATTTCAATAGTTTATAATTGAGCAAAAAATCATTGTATTGAGATAAAAGAAGGGTCAAATTATTGAGTTAGAAAAATAGTTCACAAAAATATTAATTTATGATAAAGGATATTAATAAAAATTAAAAACAATTGTTGATAGTACTATTTCACGCGTATAAGAATGTATACGTGTTTAGTAATGTGTATTGCCTCTTTATTTAGTTGAACTAGAGTATTCTAACACAAAAAATCGAAATGATTACATTTCACGCGTATAAGAGTGTATACGTGTTTAGTAATGTGTATTGCCTCTTTATTTAGTTGAACTAGAGTATTCCATCACAAAGAATCAAAATGATTTAAAAAAATATTTAAACTTTAATTTGAGCTTTTTTAAACTTAATATAATGATTTTTTTAAATATCGGTTAAACAGAAATATACATATATAAATATATATGTATACATATATAAACATTTTATACTAATTTACATTTTTTTGCAGGTATAACTATAACAAGGCTGCGCCTATAGATCATTCAGTATATACAAGGCTGCGCTTATAAAAACAGGCTGCTTGTGCGCCTATAAGAAACAAAAGGTAGGCTGCTTCTGCGCTTATAAAAACAGGCTGCTTCTGCGCCTATAAAAAACAGGCTGCTTCTGCGCCTATAAGAACCAAAAGGTAGGCTGCTTCTGCGCCTATAAGAACCAAAAGGTAGGCTGCTTCTGCGCCTATAAGAACCAAAAGGTAGGCTGCTTCTGCGCTTATAAAAACAGGCTGCTTCTGCGCCTATAAGAACCAAAAGGTAGGCTGCTTCTGCGCCTATAAAAAACAGGCTGCTTGTGTGCGTCTATAAGAACCAAAAGGTAGGCTGCTTCTGCGCCTATAAAAAACAGGCTGCTTGTGCGCCTATAAGAACCAAAAGGTAAGCTGCTTCTGCGCCTATAAAAACAGGCTGCTTGTGCGCCTATAAAAACTTTATTTTACAATTATACTAATATTTAAAAAATGGCAAAAAGACAAATGATTTTACAGCAAAAAGAAAAAGACATAATTGTTAAAGGCGATTGGTTGACAGACGTACATATGGATCATTTTAACTGCCTCTTACGAAACTGTTCAAAAAACATGTACAAACCTGTTGATACCTATAAATTGTACTTTCCTGATACAATAAAATCTATATCAATAAATAATAAGCATATACAAATCTTGTTTAGTTCTTCGGAAAATTCGGAAATTCATGATGGACATTGGGTATGTAGTTATTACGACACAAGAAACATATTTATTTATGATTCGTTGAATAAAAAAGAATTGCACGAGAATCATAAAACATTTTTGGAAAGATTATTTCCACAATATAATTTTAATTCTGTTAAATTTCCTGCAGTACAACATCAACCAAACGGGAATGATTGTGGTGTTTTTGCAATAGCTTTTGCTATTTCCTTATTATATAACATTCCGCTTGAGAATGTTAACTATGATCATAGCTTGATGCGTTTGCATTTACTTAAAATATTCGAAACAAATAAACTTGAGCATTTTACTCAAGATGCGCGCTATCCAATCCTAAAAATATTGCCATTACCAATAGTGATACAAAGAGAAATTAACGCGACTCGTATGCGTATATTACGTAAAAGTACTCATAATAATAAACAACAACATAAGAATAATCAACAGTGTATAGTAGAAAATAAAAAACATAAGAATAATCGACAGTGTACAGAAAAAATAGAAAAAGGACATGCAACACACGAAGAATGGTACTTGCAAAATTCGGCAAATATGTGCGCTAAGAATGGTGCTAACTATAAAGGTTTAGAATATAGAGAAATGGAAAACCTTAGAAAACGAAAACGATATGAAGAGAATATAGAGGATAATCGCGGTAAGAAACGATGTCGGTATAGNAAATTCATGATGGACATTGGGTATGTAGTTATTACGACACAAGAAACATATTTATTTATGATTCGTTGAATAAAAAAGAATTGCACGAGAATCATAAAACATTTTTGGAAAGATTATTTCCACAATATAATTTTAATTCTGTTAAATTTCCTGCAGTACAACATCAACCAAACGGGAATGATTGTGGTGTTTTTGCAATAGCTTTTGCTATTTCCTTATTATATAACATTCCGCTTGAGAATGTTAACTATGATCATAGCTTGATGCGTTTGCATTTACTTAAAATATTCGAAACAAATAAACTTGAGCATTTTACTCAAGATGCGCGCTATCCAATCCTAAAAATATTGCCATTACCAATAGTGATACAAAGAGAAATTAACGCGACTCGTATGCGTATATTACGTAAAAGTACTCATAATAATAAACAACAACATAAGAATAATCAACAGTGTATAGTAGAAAATAAAAAACATAAGAATAATCGACAGTGTACAGAAAAAATAGAAAAAGGACATGCAACACACGAAGAATGGTACTTGCAAAATTCGGCAAATATGTGCGCTAAGAATGGTGCTAACTATAAAGGTTTAGAATATAGAGAAATGGAAAACCTTAGAAAACGAAAACGATATGAAGAGAATATAGAGGATAATCGCGGTAAGAAACGATGTCGGTATAGAAATGATTTAGAAAATAATCGCGATAAACAGCGCAGACGATATAAACAGAATACAGAGGATAATCGCGCTAAGAAACGATGTCAATATAGAAATAAGTTAGAAAATTACGATAAACAATACAAATATAAAAAAAAATGTTTACATATTCAAAGTTCGCAGTATACGAAAAAACGAGATAGACAAAAAAAATTATTATCTGATTCAAAAATAAAAAGCTGTGTGATGGCTAGACAAATTATAAGGAAATATAATAGAATTCGTACATCAAATAAGTTTATACAGATTTGTGGTTCTAAAGAAAACTTTATTACAAATATCTCAGAAAAACTTAAAATTAAAGGGAATATCAATAAAAGAATAGAAGCAGAAAAAATCGTACGTTGGTATATTGTTGTTAGAAACAGTATGAGTAAAAGTAAACAGTATAAGTAACATTTGTGACATTTCTAAAATATTATCTTTGCTTAGAAAAAAGTCAGAAATATGTTTGACGGTTGTTGCGGAATGTACCACACTTGATGACAAATTACATGCACTGTGTGGAATATCCAGATACACAGCTTCGTCTAAAAATTATTTTATTGATTCTATTTATCATCAAAAACATTTAGCAGAATCTTTGATGATAAATATGGAAGGACAAATTGTAAATGTGTTGCCTTTAATACAAGCACAAGCAAAAATGTCGTGGTTGTGTAATAATTTATGCAAAACTGACAATCAATTCCTGATTAGTTATTATGAGAAACTTCTTCAAACAATAAATATATGTACTTAAAAGAACGTACCAAAATTACTGGAAACTATTTTTAATTGTACTGTGAAAACTTCAGATAAAAAGTTAGGTCATGCGCACAGTTGTTATATTACTCCAAATCTTTGTAAAGCAATGTGTATTCCACTTCAATTATTATCACCTCATTTTCCAAAAGTGAGAAATATGAGACGTTTGATTTATCAACTTAAGAATGTTTATCAGAAGCTTGTAAATCTAGACAGAGCTTTAACTTATGCTGATGTAGACACATTAAAGAACATTATTACTTCGGCACAAGAAAAAGCAGATATATACAAACAGCAGCAATTTAATACTGTTTTGAGTGACGAAAACATCATTGATAAATATCAAAATGCATTTAAAGCTTTGACTAAACGCTGTATGGATATACTACGATACGTTTGTGTATCATGTGAAAGACTTTGTTACAAAAGAAATATTTCTGAAATAAATACTGTTCAAAAATATATATATATATAGACATTCCAAGTTGGAGGCATTTGATGGATTATGTAAAAGAAAAGAAAAGTGATGCACAATATGTATGTGATTATTGTATTCGAAAATTTCTCAATGGTGTCATGCCTGCGTATTGTATTTTAAATAATCTGTTTGTAGACAACGTGCCTGAAGTAATATCGTCTCTTAATTAATTTGAAACCATTCTTGTACAAAGAGCAAAAGCATTTCAGACTGTTGTTAAAATGGGAGCTGTTATGAACAAACAATTGCCACAACGGCAAATGATACAAAAAGTCAAAGGTAGAACGTTTCATTTACCACTTCCTTTACAAGAGACTTTAAATAAAATTTGTGCTAATACTGATCCAATTAACATAAACCATGAATTGTATATTTTGGTAAGAAGTATACCAACAAAATCGAAAATTGTGTGGGAAGAAATGGTGAATGTGAAAAAAGTCTTTAACGCCTTGACGTGGCTAAAAACAAATAATCCTTTATATTCTAAAATTATTTTGCTAAATACTCATGAAGAACTGTGTTTAAACAACTTAAATCTTGAATTTCAATTGCAAGAACCTGATGTAGAAACCACACTTGATGAACACGAATTATTAAATAAATCAACATCTAAAATAAAAGAAACAGAAAATAATGCAGACGATAAAATAGCAGAACATCGTGAAGCATTGTTAACACAAGTTACAAATGAGAATGATATTTATTATGAGCAATATACTATTTATCCTTTATACGAAAAAAAAT